GTTTCATGATCCGCTTAACAATAGCTGAATGATGGCCATTTTAAGACCGAAAATGCATTAAAATCACGTATTTTCACAATTCCGGAACCAGATCTCAGTCATGCATGGATGGATTTTGTTCAGATTTAGTACAATGTGTTGTACATATGCAGGTGCATTTCGGTCATGATCTGCTTTGAATGTATATGTCACTCAAATATGAACGGAACGGGGACGTGTCATTGACAATGACTTGTTAAAATTGCTTTTCTGCCTTTCACCAATCCATTGCTCCAAATACACACCTTTAAACTCTTATTTTCCCAGCATCGAGATGGCTCTGCCAACTCTTGTTTTCGAATCGTTGCAATTGTTGATTAGTACCCAGTAGTGATTATAATAATGTACAAAAAATAAATTTGTTGAATTGTTATGAAATGCTAGTAAAACTCAACTTATTTTCATTGTAAGGGAATGATTTCGGTCACATGTAAACGCTTGATGTGATGTCTCACAGTCCAAGTCATTAGATCAAAAAGAAGCATACCGGTATACCATACTTGACCATGTTAGCACCCAGTGTCCTCAACACTGGACACTTAGTGCTTAGACTAATGGGTCTAGTCTTTTATTATCTAATCACAATGCTGTATTGTACCGACGCAATTCTTTGGAAATTTCAGAAACTATTCTGGTAATGCAATGTGGAAGTGAATTATCGATGTCTATTGGAATTGATTTCGGTGAATAAACAACATGATTTTTTTTTCAAATACTGGTAACTAGCAATTATAGGTAAACTGAATATGGCATGAAGTATTTACCACATTTCATTTTCATTAACAGGTCATTTTGAAGCGTAGTTTACATACGATTTACACATTCACAAAATATTCATGGCAGTCGATATCTATGCTATTTCATATAATATATATACTCCTGAGAGCTATGTAATGAAATTAATCAATCACATTAAAACTTCACATTCCACCATACACATACATGTACATTGTATATGTTTTTTTTGGAGGGGGTGTTATCAGCAGTATTATATATATATGGTCTATATTTGGGTTGAAATTGTTCAATTTAGCTCAACTACTGAAAATGCTAGTTTTGTTTATCTGGATCATACTGATTTTTTTTTTTCATTTCAAGTGACATTTTAATGAAAAGACCAGAGAATGTTCGAGAGTTTGCTGCTTTCTATTTCACCAATCCAGACCTGCCAGATAAAGTACAGAACCAAGTCCAAAACAGAGAAACCCAACTCCGAAATGCCAGAATAAATCGGAAAATCTAGCATCCATTGGGTGTCTCACTTTCTATCGGAAATAGAGATCTATTTTCTTTACTTACTCCATCATTCCTTAGTATAAATTATTATTGGCAGTATTTTGTATAATTGGTATGGAATATTGTGATAAATGTCTTTCAATTCGATTTCCTAGAAATGTTCAGCTGTAGCTATAAATAATGCAAACAGGCTTAATTTATTACTCATCTGTTATTACTTAATGTAAAATTACAGTATATACATGTATATGTATAAACACTGCTTCAATCGCCAGGGTATCGTTAATTATTTGAAATGGTCATTAAATTCAATATTTCGCTTTGAAGTATTAAACTATGTAAACTCATTGTTTTCAGCTTTAATGTATATTTTTTAACTTTATCGCCATTTAACACATTTTTCTCATGCTGAAATCTGTTTTTGTGTTCTTTGTAGTTTTCTTTTTCTTGAATTGCAGCAAAGTATGATACTGTATAATAGAAAAGCAAAGAGTTTTGTTAACTTGAAATGTTCACCTTCAAATATCCATCAATGTTAGAAATAATACTTTTTTTGTATTAAGATAATTTTGTATCTAACTACCACTTGTGAAGAAATTAAATAAAGAGAAATACTAATCGTTGTACCATTGAGGGCAGCATTGTATATCATTACTGATAGTTAGAGTACAACTGCAAGGTTGCTATCATTAATTACATATAAAGGGCGGTTCTGAGGTTGAGGTATTATGGTAAGCCCAAAAACAGTCACTTAAATAATAGCAGCCGAGTACTGAAAAAACATTATACCTCAAAGTTGTCAAATTTTATTTTTCTGCAGCCCCATTGCAGACTGTGTTGTTGCAACATACTTTAATTATGCAACTCCTTGTATAGAAAGACAATGGTCAGATGAGCTGCTGAAATCACACCTCATACTGTGAGGGTGTTACCATGATTTCTGTCTGAGTACATCGTACAGTGAAGGTATTGTCAGAGATGTGAAGCGTCTTAGGACAATACCGGTACTTTCAGCTTTCTTGAAATTAACTTAAACTGGAAATGGCCATTTTGAACTCGTTTTTTGGGCAGGCTAGGCATTCTGATTTTTTCGGTTGTAACATTACTGGTACATGGACTACCTATTTTAAGAATAAATACATATGACTTTTCTTGTCACATTGAATATTCCAAAAAAATGTGAAAAACAGAAAAATACACTTGAAAATTCTTTAAACTAAATAGTAAGTTGTCATTTTGAACCCTTTCTCAGGGTTATTTTTATTCATGTATTTTTTAGCTCCGCTGTCGACTTTGTCGAGCGGAGCTTATCATATAAGTACGGTAATTATCTGTCTGGTTCGTTGTCTGTGTCAATGTTTTACTTTTTTGACTTCTTCTTGAAAACTACAAGCCTGAATGCTTTGATATTTGGTGGATATGTACCTTGGGTAGGCCTCTCTTAGATTTGTTCATTTCATGATGAATATTTTTGTAATTTTTGGTAAAAGTGATATTTTCGACTTTTTGTTAAAAACTGCAAGTCTGATTGCTTTGATATTATACATATAGGTACTACAGGCAGAGCTCTCTCAGATTTGTTCATTTTGTGATGATATTTTCAATTCTCTAATTTTGATGAATATTTTTGTAATTTTTGGTGAAAAGTGATATTTTTCAATTCTTGTTGAAAACAGCAAGTTCCATTGTATTGATACTATACATATTGTTCATTTTCTAATGATATCTTCTGTTCTTTAATTGAAATGTGCATTGCTAACAACGAAGCTATCACAGCTGACAGGCTGTTTAATTGTTGTCGTTGCATTATTGATATTATATTTCCCATCGTATTAATTGCAGTCAGTTTATGATCTTTTGAGGTCAAAACTCCCATCAGATAGCTAATACAGATGTGGCTTAAAGTAAAGTGTCCCATGTAATGCAACATGATCTATATGGGTCCCATGCTATGTGTCATGTTCTATATGGGTCTCATGCTATGTGTCAAGTTCAGTATGTGTTCCATGCTATGTATAATGTTCAATATTGGTCCTATGCTACATGGCATGTTCAACACGTGTCCCATACTGTGGGTCATGTTCATTATGTGTCGGATGCTACATGTCGTGTGCAATATGTACTCCATGCTAAGTGTCGTGTTCAATATGTGTCCCATGTTATGTGTCATGTTCAGTATGTGTTTCATGCTACGTATCATGTTCATTATGTGTTC